GGACGGAACTCGGAGGGCGTTGTCCACCCTAAGATGGACGCGAATTCGGAGGGCGTTGTCCACCCTAAGATGGACGGAATTCGGAGGGCGCTGTCAGGGTCCCCCTCGGGGAGCGACGGCGCCCGACCGTCAGGGTCCCTACGGGGAGCGACGGCTGAAGCGCAAGGGTACTGTCAGGGTCCCTTCAGGGAGCGACGGTGCCCTAATGTCAGGGTCCCCTCTGGGGAGCGACGGTTCGAAGGGCGCTGTCAGGGTCCCCCTCGGGGAGCGACGGCGCCCGACCGTCAGGGTCCCTACGGGGAGCGACGGCTGAAGCGCAAGGGTACTGTCGGGGTCCCCTCGGGGAGCGACGGTGCCCTACTGTCAGGGTCCCCCTCGGGGAGCGACGGTTCGAAGGGTACTGTCAGGGTCCCTTCAGGGAGCGGCGGTGCCGTACTGTCAGGGTCCCTCCGGGGAGCGACGGTTCGAAGGGTACTGTCAGGGTCCCCGCAGGGAGCGATCGTACCGCAGCTGCGGCTAAAGGCCTGCGCTGCCCGCGGCATTCGAATGCGGCGCCTCCCGACTGAGTCGGCTCGCGTCGTATTCCAGCCAGAAGGGCGCTGAGACGAGATCGCGATCTCGGTCATCACGCCATCTAGACTTTAGCGAGGCGTGTGGCGCGCCGGCAGCGCCGCCGCCGTCTAAGGTACTGTCAGGGTCCCTTCGGGGAGCGACGGTCCTGCTGAGCGTCTGCTTGAACTGCTGTCGTCCCGCCAGAGTATATCTCGACTAGCTCTTCATCGAGAAGAGCGTCGACTCGTGCGCCGCCTCGTCGGCGGCGTGGCGGGCGGGCAGCTGGATGTGCTGTCGCCTCGCCATAGGATACCTCGACTAGCTCTCGATCGGCTAGAGCGTCGACTCGTGCGCCGCCTCGTCGGCGGCGTGGCGGGCGGGCGGCCGGATGTGCCGTCGCCTCGCCGGAGTATATCTCGACTCGCTCTACATCGGCTAGAGCGTCGACTCGTGCGCCGCCTCGTCGGCGGCGTGGCGGGCGGGCAGCTGGATCTGCTGTCGCCTCGCCGGAGTATATCTCGACTCGCTCTACATCGGCTAGAGCGTCGACTCGTGCGCCGCCTCGTCGGCGGCGTGGCGGGCGGGCAGCTGGATCTGCTGTCGCCTCGCCGAGTATATCTCGACTCGCTCTACATCGGCTAGAGCGTCGACTTGTGCGCCGCCTCGTCGGCGGCGTGGCGGGCGGGCAGCCGGATGTGCCGTCGCCTCGCCAGAGTATATCTCGACTCACTCTACATGGGCTAGAGCGTCGACTCGAGCGCCGCCTCGTCGGCGGCGTGGCGGGCGGGCGGCTGGATGTGCTGTCGCCTCGCCAGAGTATACCTCGACTAGCTCTCCATCGAGAAGAGCGTCGACTCGAGCGCCGCCTCGTCGGCGGCGTGGCGGGCGGGCAGCTGGATCTGCTGTCGCCTCGCCAGAGTATACCTCGACTAGCTCTCCATCGAGAAGAGCGTCGACTCGTGCGCCGCCTCGTCGGCGGCGTGGCGGGCGGGCAGCTGGATCTGCTGTCGCCTCGCCGGAGTATATCTCGACTAGCTCTACATACTCAACCTCGCGAGAGCGGCTCACGCAGGCGCAGCGCCGGCTGGGGAGGCCTCGCAGCTGCCGACACCAGATGCACTGTCGGCGTCGTTCTACGCGGGCCGCTCGTCGACTGATTGACTACGGTTCTCGCGTGGGGGCGCTGTGCTGTGCCGTACCGGGCTCGACCACGCCGTCAAGCCGTCGAAGTCCGAGACGTGGGGAGGCACAACGCCCAACCACGCCAGGGCCCCGTCGAGATCGTCGTCGCCGCGACATCGAGACCTCCGGTGATCTCCGGTGATCTCGGGTGATCTCCGGTGATCTCCGGCGGGCGGGCGGCGTCGATCTCCGAGAGGGAGTCGAGTCTAGCGTTCCTCAAGATGACGCACTACTCAACTCAACCCCTACGCCCGCATCGACGTGGGAGACAAGGCCACCCCTCGATGCTACCTGCTACCAAGCGGTGGGGCAGGAGATTGGAGGGGCCCCTTGCAGAGGTGGCGCGAACAGCTTCAGCTTTTCTCGCCCGCTCTGCTGAGGGCGAGGCGCCGAGCTACGGTTCCAACGCTGCAGCACTCTCCCTCTATTCACAGCAGAGATGGCGACGCGTCCTTACGCGCGTCCTCGTCCCCACCTGCTTTGCTTCAACGTGCTGCCATGGAGCCAGCGCGCCTCGCGCCATGATTCAATCGCCCCCACCCGCCCTCTTCCTGGCGATGTTCATGGCTCAGAGCTGATTCCGATCAAAACACGCTACCAGTGTTCACTCTCTCTATAGCATCTCCCTCCGTGGTCGCGGGCTCGGCTCGCGCCGAGTTTCCGCTGTCGTCGTCACCGCATAGTCGGTTGGGCGGAGGCGGGCAGGAGCAGGCGGCTCCTTGGATCTCCAGCTCAGCCTGAGCTGTGAGGATCGGCCCTGTCCACGGTTGAAGCGACGCCAGCTTCACGAGATGTATCTTCAACGAGTTGGATCGGCTCTCTTTGTTCATGGGTCTCATTGGAAAGACGACTTGAGGAGACGACTAGTCTCACTCCCCCGCTTTCACGCAGCGTGTTCTGTTCATGTGTGTCGTGATGTGTCTGTCGGCCCTGGCATGTGTTGTCTGTCCCAGGGCGTGGGGAGGCACAACGCCCAACCACGCCAGGGCCCCGTCGAGATCGTCGTCGCCGCGACATCGAGACCTCCGGTGATCTCCGGTGATCTCGGGTGATCTCCGGTGATCTCCGGCGGGCGGGCGGCGTCGATCTCCGAGAGGGAGTCGAGTCTAGCGTTCCTCAAGATGACGCACTACTCAACTCAACCCCTACGCCCGCATCGACGTGGGAGACAAGGCCACCCCTCGATGCTACCTGCTACCAAGCGGTGGGGCAGGAGATTGGAGGGGCCCCTTGCAGAGCCGTCGCTCGCTCACCAGCGAACAAAGCAGCTCGGGGAACGCTCTGCTCGAGCTTTCCCATCTCACCCTTTCGCACATGTCCTGGCGCAAGCAGTGGCACAGTCCGCTCTTCATCAGGGCGCAGGAGCGCGAGCTGGCCTTCCGCGCACTCGGGATCGACCCAAGTAAATCCTCGGAGCCGTCGCTCGATGAGATCAAAGAGCGGTACAAGACGCTGGCGCACAACTGCCACCCGGATCGGCATGC